GTCAATATCAATGTTCTTAAAGTCACAAAAGGCTTTCCTTCTAGCTCTTGAACCTCTTAGGCAGATTAGTGCGGATCTCAGTAAAGCGAAGGATGTCCTTGCTCTTATGCAGGAGATTGTTTTAATAATAATAATAATAATAATAATAATGATGATAATAATAAAAACTCTCTGAAGCAAGACACTAGACATTTCCTGTCGCCTGTTTCATACGCCTTTGGACGGAAAGATCTTTGCCGTTCATTTTCACCCTCATGGCTAGCCTGCGTAGCCTTCGTATAAGGCGGGTCTTACTCTCTCTCTCTCTCTCTCTCTGAAAGTGCATTGATCGTTTCATCTTTGCCATCAAATGAAAGAACAATTCTCCAGGTATTCTTTAGCAGCAAGGTGTTTGTGACTTCCTACATCGTGATTTTCCTCTTAGCCGTTGGTGTTAATTTTTTTTCCATTTTAAGGCCAAAAGAGGTAATTCTCTGTGTTAGGAACGACAACAGGACCGTGAAGAGTTCACGCACCCGCAGTGGAAGTGGCATATGTGCAGACGGACGGCGCACGGATAATCACGTGATAACCAAACTTTTTTAACTCAATGGGTTGCCAAATTTTCGAAACTATGGTGCTCTGCTCACGCGCCTTCTGCGCGCAGGAGCGCAGCCATGAAAGCTATGCTGATACCTCGCGTAAAAATAATTTTAACTTTTAGAGACATTTTAAAATAACTGGTGGGTTATATCTCAACAAAGGAACCACTTTGTTTTTTTTTTTCTGGGACTTTGTTCTTGGCCAGCTGCTGGGGCCTGTTAAATGTCTTTTCCCATTTTTAGCTCATGGATGACGTAGTGATTCCATGAGCTTCAGGAGGCTGTCCAGTGACACTCACTCGCATTCACTCATTCTAATTAATTTATTCACTAATTAGTCATTAATCATTATTATTAACACTAACCCAATTTCCATTACTGTGAAAATCTTTCCTCTCCAATTCCTTCTAACTGTAGCTAGGTCTTTAGCTGCGTTAAAGAGAGAATTGTTCGAGCACTCGCTCGCGCGGGACTAGCCCAGACCATAATTGGGATCCTTTCAAGGAATGGTTCCCAAGATTTTCCTAAGTTGGTAGAAAAATTGTGAAGAAAATGAAATGATTCAGTTGTGACTCCATTGACAGGAGGGGAAAAGTTCACGAATTCAGTCGAGCTACTACTTCAGGCCCAACAAGTTGAAGTACAAGAGTATCGTAAGGTAAAGCGTATCAAGCAGAGTTTAAAGCAGATTTATTGTATTTTATTCAAACACTCCTAGATTTTCGTTTCAAACAGTGCACGTTCTTGGCAACTAGATTGTCTCAAAATTTACTTTATCGCATAATAAACTGCTGCTTATATGTACAGCAAACTCAGCAAGGCATTGCATGCTAAGAACAATTGAATATGGTGAATATGAATACAAAATTATTCAAAACATTGTCGTGACAGATACAATTAAATCAGTTCAGCTTGCAAGTTTCTCAGTTCACATACTTCGGACATTACTGAACATATTTTACTGGCACCTAATCTGAATTCCCTACAAATGTCACACATAAATTTATGACCATCATACTTTTCTTAATAGCACATTTGCACGATACCGCCATTGGACTACAACTACCATAATTCCTTTTGTTTTTGAATCCCCATTGGGGTTTAAATGACAATTGCCCTAATTTAACATAAGAAACAGATAAAGTGAAGGATTGTGGTAGTTGCAGTCAAATGACGCCATCATACAAATCGCCTATTGCAAAACGATGCATGAAGCTTATAAAGTAAATGGGAAGATAGAATATATAATTAGTTGTACATGCATAGCTATGAGTATGTAATATAAGTATCATCGCAATCAAATCTCAGACTTGTAGAAATAGATTTATCAGAGGGTGCGTGATGATCTGGTAATCGATAAATGACAGCATGTTTTAAAGGAGCTCAGTCACGGTATTTTGAGTTATTTTGGTCACATACAAAATTACCTTTAAATGGTAGGAAACCTGAAAATAACAGTTTAATAAGATAAAAAAAAACACCAAAGACATAATGATAAATGATGGAAGGAACAAGGATGGCTAAGGATGGAGAAGATTACAGTAACACGGACGAATTTGAAAAATTGAGGCTAGACTTTTCAATATGCGCAAACCGTCACTGAGCTCCTTAAAATTGGCAAGTTTCCTTTCAATTTTTTTCTCTAGTGGCAAATCGTACCTTTTGAAATTATAACATCCTTACTGAAAACTAACACAAATGGTTATAATTTTAAAGACTTTCAACTGACACTGCAACTTTCACTTATACCTCTCAATCCAGACCTCTTTCTAGGTAAGTACTTACAACCAAACGTCTAATTAACACTGAGATAACATTAAAACAAATACTTGTAATGATCTAAGTATCGGTAAATGAAGCATGAACCATTGAACTGATGTCATACGATCTACCATCACTTAGAACTGCTGTAGAGACTGGTCCATTAAACTCTCCTATCCCGCTCCCTTTTGTTCCAAACTTCGTTATAAACTTTCCACTTTGTTCAAACACCTGAACCCTGTGATTTCCTGCATCACAGACCATCAGGTGTCCTACTTTATCAACTGACAAGCAATGAGGGTTATTAAATTCCCCGTCCTCCTCACCTTTTTTTCCAAATTTGTACAGGAAATTGCCAACCCTGTCAAAAACATTGATGCAATGTTCATGGCTGTCCGATGCTATAACGTAGTTGTTATATTGTACACAGTGAAAAGGACAACTAAAAGAACCCTTTCCTACAATCTTATGTACGATCTCCCCAGTACGAGAAAAGAGCTTAATTACTTTGTTATCTCTATCAGCGACAATAATATTTCCGTCATTATCTACAGATAAACCAAGAGGACGACTTAACTGGTGGTCCAGATTTCCTTTGTTACCAATATGGCTCAGGTAATTACCATCTTCACTAAATATTTTAACTTGTTGGTTGCCATTGTCAACCACTAGAATGTTTCCATTAAACCTATCAAAAGCTACCCAAGCAGGATAATTAAATTCTCCCTGTTTATCACCCTTTGTACCAAATGATCTTATGTAAGTTCCATCACTACTGAATACGAGAACTCTGTTGTTACCGGTCTCAGTCACCGCGATTTCATCACGTTCATTCACTGCCAGTCCCCAGGGCTTTCTAAGCATTCCAGCAGTCGAGCCTTGATGTCCAAACGATGACACGGGTCTGTACTGTCTGTGTTTGACTCTAACCACAAATGGGCTGCCATGGACCTGTTCTCCATTTACCTTTACTGAAACGTCGCGCTTTCCGGTTTCTTTGGCAAAATAGCTGATGTAGTAGCTGCCATCTCTGTTATCTTGGATTCGTGCTTTCCTCGTACAGTCCTGTCCTTGACGATTTCTGATTTCCACTGTTACGCAGTCACGCTCGTCATAACATTGTTCTCCTTTAGCATTTCTTGTTGTCAAAACAAACTGGGCCTCAAGTCCGACAACAGCTTCACTCGTTCCTTTTCCTTCAGCTTTTGATTGATTCGTACTAGTATGAAATGTTTTGAATGAGCCAATTCCTTCTGCGTTTACTTTGTCCATTAATGTTTCGTTTTCCACGAACATGAATAGACGAAGACCTTGAAGGTCACAGTCAGCTATTTCATTTTCACCATTCACGACTCCTTGAAAGATTGCATTTAATGAATTGTCTAATTACACAATCTCAGCACTTGTGCTTCGCTCTAAAAGTGTTTCAGCTTGTTCAAGTTCCGACTCGTTCACTTGTACTTGATTTTCAATCTCGCTTTTCTGTGTTACAAGACGTTGGATTGACTCAGCCGCTTGATTTTCTACTTCAAAACAGATCTTGCGCTTCTTCGCTTGGATGACGCAGATCACCGCTTCGGCAAATTTCTGCGCGTTTCTCTTCACCCCAGCGGCATGCTCTTGAATTTGAATACAGGTTTGGTCAATGTTGGTGATTTTGTTTTTCTGCTGTTGGACTTGTTTCTTTTGCGACTCGATCACAGATTTCATTTGTAGTTTGCGTTCATTCGCTGCTTCTTCCAGAAGCATCTTGGCGTGACCTTCGTGGTCTGTCAAAGCACAAGCATTGCAAATTGGAGTTTTACAAATCTTGCAAAAGAACTTCAGCTCATCTTTCTTGTGATGTTTCTTTTGGCAAAATGCTGGGCGTTTTAAAACGTTCTCAAAGTCTCCTTCTTTAAAGTCAGTAAGCGCCAAAACACGGTGTTCTTTGTTAGCTCTTATTATGTTGTGCCCAATGATACAGTTGTTACACCAGAAGACACAACATTGGAAACAATAGCAACTCTGTGCACTTCTGTTGTCGCAGTTTCCACATTGGACTGCCGTAGTGTTACACTCTTTGATTGCCAACACATCTAGGAGACTGTTGATGCGAAAGTTGGTCGGCAGGTCCTTTAGGTTTCCACTTCCAGGGACTCTGTTCTCTCTTCTACATTCTGGGCAAGTAATGATATCATGGCGGCCACTCGTTCGTAGAATTGTTTCCAAGCAGTGAAGACAAAAGCTGTGTAAACATGGCAGCGTTTTTGGATCTGTGAATGTGGTCATGCACACAGAACAGGATACTTCTTCATGAAGATTGTTTGGCAAGGTTTTAAAATCCATGATTAAAAGCCGAGGGAAAACTAAAAGGCGGTTCCGCGTCGAAAACGCCTCCAAGAATAAATCCTTTTGATCTCTTTTTAGCATGATACTATTGACCAAACAGATAACAGTATTAGACATGTTTTGACATATTGTTTGATTTCTAAGAATGATTGCATAAATCGCCAAAGATTCTAAGAACTGTGACCAGGAGAGCATGACCTACAAATTAAAGCGGACAGACTGAACTACTCAGATCAGATTACGGGACATAATATCTGAAATGCTACGTCCAGAAAACAGATCTGAGAATTTCTAGTAATTTCTGGCCAGCATCCCCGTCACTTTCTTTATAGCGAAGTGTTCCTAA